TTAATGTAACTTTGATAGGAGAAAGTGTAGTTGAAATTTGTTATTTTGATTTTCCGAAACACAGATGCAATTTTGTGTTTTTTCTTTAAAGTGGAAATTAATCTCACTAATGACTACCGTCTCAGTGGAGGAGTTTCAGAAGTGGTGTTCAAAGCAAGCAAGATAACTTTCCACTGGGGAAAATGCAATATGTCTTCTGAAGGATCGGAACATAGTTTAGAAGGACAAAAATTTCCACTTGAAGTAAGTCACTGGCTCTGCTGGCTATTGTTTCATTTTCTAAATCATTGAGATTTTGGGTAGCATATAATTTGATTCATTTATAATCCAATTTTATAATTTATAGTTATATTTTGTTTCTTGGTTAAGGTCTTCCTTCCTCACTAGACTAAGCTCAGTAGCGCCCATACTTGATTTTCCACTCCTGGCAACCCAGAGCGCCACACTGTAGACGTCTGACCAGCCAATGCTAATGAGTAAAAGAATAGATGAAATTCCTTACACAGCTCAGGAGGGGGAAAAGGGGGAAATTTCTTCAATTTACTGGAGAATCAAAGAAATGCAAAATGAAATGGGAACATTTTTCAGCTTTAAAATTGGTTAAAAATATAATAAATAATGAGTATGCAGTGAAACACTTTCATACATGTCTGGAGAGAGTATAAATTGGTAGTTTCCTTGTTTTTATCCAGAACTTTAATGTTTCATTCCCAGTGCCCACCATTTCCACTTGTAACAATGTAGTCTAAAAAACAAAGACATGCTCAAAAATGTATGTGCAAAGATTTATTTACAATAATGAAAAGTTGAAAGAAAAGGAAATGATTCAATGGAGGGGCTCCCGGCTGGCTCAGTCAGTAGACCGTGCAACTCTTGATCTCGGGGTTGTGAGATTACTGAAAAATAAAAATATATTTTAAAAATACATTATGATGGAATATTACAGATCTTGTAAAAATTATGTGTTTGAATAATTTATTTACACAAAAAGGTTCATCATAAGATATTAATGGGTTTTTCTTTTTTAAGATATTACTGCTTGTTAAAAGCAGAATATAAAACAGTATGCGCAGTATCAATATTCTGATTTTGTAAAACATGAAAACTAATTAAATAGTGACTAAGGGCCCAGAATCTGAGTCAAATGGACTAGGTTTGAATACTTACTTCACCATTTAGGTGTTAGTTATCGACATGACATTATACAAATATTTAATTTACCTAAGCTTCCATGGCTCCCTTGTGAAATTGACAGAAGAGTAGTAGCACCTACCTGATGAAGTTATTATGAGGATTAAATGAGAGAAGGAATTACTACTGTCGTAAAAATAATTGAGAGAAACCAAGAAGACATGAATAGTGATTTTCCCTGAGTGATGGCATTTTAGGTACCTTTTCTCCTCTCCTTTAAAATTCCCATACTTTTAAAATTATTTATAATGAAACTGTATTACTTTTATAGTCAAAATAGTTATTGATAATAAAAATAAGATGAGTGAATTACCTGCTATAGGACTAAAAATTTTTAATGTGGATAAGCACATTCTAATTTATAGCTTGTAAATTTACGTTTTTCAATATATTAAATATCCCTAAAGAAAAGCGCATTTATCAAATTTGGTTTGTCAAAGAAATAAAAGTCAATTCATTAAACATATACATTGTCACTTTGGAGAGTTTAGCTCTGTCACAATACTACTTATTTAGAGCAAAGAGGAAAATCAAGAAAAACGCTAACAACAAAAAAAGCCCTGAGCCAGCAAAATAAATGGTACAGAATCTGTGCACTAAATCTCAAATATTTTTCTTATTTAAAAAGCCTCTCAAGTTCTCTCAGAGGGATTGTTTGTTGCTTTTCTTTCTTTAAACTCTCTCCATGTAATTGGGCAAGCAGGGAAATTCGGGGATATCCTTGACTTGGTCTTTTTTTTCTGGTCTCCTGCATCCTACAGTGAGGTCTTAGTTCTGCCCCTAAATGATGTGGGAGGGCAGAAGAAAGTTCAAACCACCTTTGTCTCTTACTTAGATTGTTAAATGCCCCCCAACTGGTCTCCCCCTCTCTAGTCTTATTCTCCGCCATACCGCACCCTCTTCCCCCCGGTCCTGCCACCTCCCCACCCCTGTTAGACGAAGCGCATCCAGTGTTCTCTGTTGCTCTCCAGAGCAAAGGGCTGGGACTGCCTCGTGGGCTTCCTGGTGTGGCCCCTGTCTGCCCTTCTGGCTCCGTCTCTTCTTCTCTCCCACATGCTCAGCTGCAATCACAGCCAATTACTTCCCACTTCCCACAGTTCTCCTTCTTTCTTGCCTACTGGCCCTTCCCAAGCCGGCCCCACTGACCTGAACATACATTCATCTCTTCTGCCTTTTCATCGGTCAGTTTGTAAGCTGCTCATCCTTCAGGGGTTAGTTTAGCAATCCTTTCTCTGAAAAGGCTTTTTGATCACCCAAGGCAGGAGCCACTTCCATCCTCTGCCCCGCACCTGCGGTTTCTCCGGTCATAGCCCTACCCAAGCATTAGTCTTCACAGAGGCTTTCTGCTCCTCCCTTAATTATTCTTCTAACTAGCTAAATTACCTGATTTCCAAGCTCATCACATGGGGAGCACCAAATTACAAGTGAGAGTAGGGGCCATTGTCAACAGACACATGGGCTGAAGTAGAAATTAACAAGGAATATAGCCTGGCGGCCAAAGAGGACACAGGATAAGGAACTTAACATTCTTCTTGGTATTTTTCAGATAGAAGCAGAAAGTCCTTGAGAGTTTCGCCATTAATAGCATGCAGTATGGGGCACCTGGGTGGGGCAGTCGGGTGAGCGCCTGACTCAGTTTTGGCTCTGGTCGTGGTCTCCGGGTTGTGGGATCAAGCCCAGGTCAGGCTCCACTTTTTTTTTTTTTTAAAGATTTTATTTATTTGACAGAGAGAGACACAGCGAGAGAGGGGTAGTGGGAGAGGGAGAAGCAGGCTTCCCGCGGAGCAGGGAGCCCGATGCGGGGCTGGATCCCAGGACCCTGGGATCATGACCTGAGCCAAAGGCAGACGCTCAATGACTGAGCCACCCAGGCGCCCCCAGGCTCCACTTTTAGCACAGAGTCTGCTTGGGGCTCTCTCTCCCTCTCCCTCTGCCCCTCCACCCTGCTCTCTCAAATAAATAAATAAATCTTGTATTAAAAAAAAAAAACAGAATGCAGTATAATAATGTCCAAAAAAGGTAACTCAGACCATCAAGAAAGGCATGTCCAATCAAAGAATGAAACCATATTTGAAAGAATGCCAGCAAAATAGTTAAAATAACATTGGATAACTTATTACATTAGATAATTGTTCTCGTATATTATTACCTCAGTATTCCCTGGTAATGTCAAAGTGGTCATTTCTGTCCTAGATGTGTCTAACTTTGTATTTCCTTCCTCACTGAAGGATGATAAGTGATAGTAAATGCAGTTGTATGTATGTGTAATTGATGATAAAATATTTTGAAACTATACAGAATATAGAATTATGCAGTTTACAGAGTTTTTCAAATAGTATTCACTGAATTGGTAAATTATTTTATTGTCTCTTTGGTGACTTTTGTGATGTCTTTGTATATAATAAAGCTGTCGTTGTTACATTTCATAGATGCAAATCTACTGCTTTGATGCGGACCGATTTTCAAGTTTTGAGGAAGCAGTAAAAGGAAAAGGGAAGTTAAGAGCTTTATCCATTTTATTTGAGGTAATCATTATACATAGATTTAATGCTAACTTAATTCCTTCTTTAATCACATGATGTGACATATCAAAGCATACTTTTTAACAAATATAAGAGCTCACAAGTGTGATAACTGGTGATCATTTTCGAACAGAACAGTTGGTTGGCTGGTAGGTTTAAAAGGGGACTCTTGCATTCATTAACTGGGTACGTCACTTCTAGCTGGAGCAAACCGTTCGTGAGTGCACAGATTTGCTTATGTGTACATGCAAAGCATCATCAGGATATAGAGCAGAGACTGTGAATCAACATTTTTAAAGTGTACTTTTCTCAGTGGAAAATTTCAAACGTAGCTGTTTTTTGTTTGTTTTATTTGTTTTTATCTTGTGAAAAAAAAAGTATGCATTTGGAGGTTTTTACTTTTGGATACGTAAAATGGAATTTACTAATTTTTTCATTTTATTGAAGAGTTAATCCAATATTTTATCCCATTCTTAGAATGTCATTCTTCTTTAATAGGTTGGAATAGAAGAAAATTTGGATTACAAAGCAATTATTGATGGAGTTGAGAGTGTTAGTCGTTTTGGTAAGCTATTTGGAGAAATCTCTTTCTTCCAGATTTCTATTTTGGATGCATACGAATTTTTATAATATTACAAAAATCAGTTGTTCCAAAAGGAGGAAGGAAAGACCCTTTCAAAGAGAACCCATCTTTTTATACAATTTATACATGTCTCACAAAAGAACTTTTTATCTGAAATTTATTTATATATGTCTCACTAAAGAACATTCTTTCTGAAATTTTTGTCATGTAAAAATCATAAAATGTTAATATAAGTAGGAAGTTGAAGTTTTCTAATTTTATTCTTGAAAATAATCTAATTACATCATGCATTCAAAATGTATTTATTCTGGGGCACCTGGGTGGTTCAGTTGGTTAAGTGTCCGACTCTTGATTTTGGCTCAGGTTATGATTTCAGGTTTTGGGATGGAGCCCCAGGTTGGACTCCATGCTCAGCGAGGAGTCTACTTGGGGTTCTCTCTCTCTCTCTCTCTCCCTCTGCCCCTCCCTTGCACTTGCAAACGTGCACTTGTGCTCACACTCTCTTTCTCTCTCTCTCTCAAATAAATAAATAGATCTTTAAAAAAATAAAAAATAAAATGTTTTTATCTATTCTGTCTGCATTGTACATTTGTTAAAGACTCTAATTTATAATCTGAAACCAGTTAATTTTATAAAAAATCATATCTTAAAGTGAAAAGAGAATGGTTCCTCAAGTTAAAACTTATTTCCTGGTGGTTTCCTCGACAGGCCCTTTGCTTTACCATTATGACAGGGTATTGGAAGGAGGCCAACACTTATATAGAAAAAAAGATGCCGTATGCTTTGATATTGTTCTGCCTGCTAGCTCATGGATCTTGTCATTTGTCACAGCGAATGCTTGTAACAAGATTGGCAAGAGACAGCAAACCTGTTATTATTGTTATTTTATTTTTAGTAGGTATCCACACACACGGTATTTAATGCTGCCCTGAGTTATTAATAAAATAAGGATTATTCCTCTCTGGGAAGCTGCAAACTCTTGAAATCAGGAACAAAATTCATATAGATCCTTTTGGAAAGCAAAAGCCAGGCCTAGGATTGATTCATCTTTGTCAATCACATGTGAGGACCTTAACTGACAGAATTTTCAGAAGTCAGGAATTTGTGAACTCATGCAATGCTGCTTGTATTGGGTTTTTTTGAAAGGTGCAATCAACGCAAGATGAAGTTGTTATCTCCCTCCATCCACTAGATTGCAAAATTCAACACTGAATGCCATAAGCCACACTTAATTTTTCCCTCCATTTAGTCAGAAAGTGGATTCTATCAAGACTGAAAGAAGGCAGCTGGCTTGAATTCCTACACTGAAACTTGTGTAAAATATGAAGTCTGAATGTTCCGGGGCCTGGCATCAGCCTGTGGGGCCAACAAGAGTGGTGTAAACACTGACTTGTTGGTCCTGACTTGGGTCAGTCACTGTGGCATTTTGGCCACTTCTTCCTGAGGTTTCTTCATTTATTTCCGGGGCTCTCTAAAAGGGTCATATGAGGGTCGTATGAGCTTAAGAACCACTTTGCTCATGTTCTTTGGCTAAAGTTTACTTTTTAACATTCACTATCTGCAAGCCATTGAGGGAGGCGCTTAATCAGAGCCCCTGCTGCCACATAATAACCTCCCTGAGAATCTGGATTGCCAACAACACGATTCTGCCTCTATCCCGGCTCTCCATTTGGAAGCAGAACTTACAGTCTCTTGGACTGCCTGGGAACACGTCCTCATCTGCCCGCCATTACTGTTTCCTGTCTCTCTATCCTGCTGCTTGCGCACCAACTTCTTCCCTCTTCTTTTACCAGAAAATAGAATAATTCTCCATGTGTATCAGCTCACCCACTAGATACTTAATATTTCAATATATTCGAGAAGGACACCTGAGCTTTTACCATTGGTAAGTAGTAATAGAGCTAGGATCTAGCTCCTAGTCTGTCCAGAGTTTGTTCTGCCACACTGTGGAGACGTGTATTAGTGGTAAGTGTCAGTTTGATTTGAATTGGTTCTTAGACAGGATCCGTACAGACTAAATAAGTTAAGCCCTCCTAAAGGTAAATGTTTCTATTTTGACAGTTCTTAGACTAAATCTATTTCAGAGTCTAGAAAATCCCCTAGTGCCCAATAAACTGAAGGCTTCCCAGTATTAGCCCTCAGCCATTGCTGGTGGGAACCGAGACGACCGAAGGCAGGGCTTCTCTGTAGACAGACGCCGGAACTGCAGCGGAACTCCCGAATCCTGCTGCATATTCTCCATCTAATGTGAGTTGTTCAACAAACCACACGTAGAACCATCATCAAGATTATAAAATCTATCTTATTCCAATGTGGGCTGCTTACTCATTTCCTATGTTCCTCTCCAAAAGACAAACCCATTTCCCGTTCCTTCCCTCACTCTTATCTTTCTTTCTTTCCCTTCCTTCCTCCATACCTGCTCTGTGTTAGGCACTTCCTACCCTTGGAGTGGAGAGAGAGAGGGTGAGGTTGCATCTATACAAAGATAGCATATTAATATTCCCCAAGCAGAGTCCACAAAAAAAGAGAACTTTTGGTTGAACTCTTTCAAGTTGCAAAGGAAGAGACACACCCCAGGTAACATCATCAGTGATTCTCAAATGGGATTTGTCATTAGAACGGTTTCTGGTGTTAATCTTAATCACAAATTCAGCCCAGGAATTTGTATATTGGAAAGTCCTCGCAGACCGTTTTGACATGGCACCATCTTAAATTTTACTGTCCTAAGTAGTAAGAGTTGGTTTTTTAAAAACATTTTTAAATTTAAATTCAATTAATTAACCTATAACGTATTACTAGTTTCAGAGGTACAGGTCTGTGATTCATCAGTCTTATATAATACCCAGTGCTCATTACAACACATACCCTCCTTAATGTCCATCACCCACTTACCCCATCCCTCCACTCGTCTCCCCTCCAGCAACCCTCAGTTTGTTTCCTATGATTGAGTCTCTTATAGTTCGTCTCCCTCTCTGGTTTCGTCTTGTTTTATTTTTTCCTCTCTTCCCCTATGCTCCTCTGTTTTGTTTCTTAAATCCCACAGTAAGAGTTGGTTTTAAGTATTTAGTGGCTCTTCCCTAGTGCTTGACCCTATTGTGGTCTTTATCTCTCTCCCTACTCGTCTTCCCCCACCTGCTCTCAACCTCCTATAAAAGGGAGCAGCAGATTGATTGGTTAGTCACCAACATATGTTCAAATGAAGAGTGATTGAATGATCATAAATACAGCAGCACTGACTCAGGTGTGATTCTCGCCTGTGTTCACAGTAGTGAGGTGATTCAGATGAAGCAAATGTTTTTGCTAGACATATATTCAAAAAATCACCTTATTCCTATTTTCTCAAAAGACAGTGGTCTAATTGAAAAGCTCTACTGTAATTGAAAAGTCTTGTGTTATCCAAGACAAAAATTTAGGACATATATGTAAATAACATTTTTAAAATAAGGCACAAAACAGTTAGCATTTTAAGAAAGTTCTCCATTTCACCATCCCTATTCAGATCTCACCTCTTTTCTTCCTTTTCTGGCCTTTAGCTTTCTTGGTGTCATTTCATTTCCCGCCTAATTTAGCAGTGAGTCAGTGTTTGGCTCCTTAATTAGTATTCTCCAAATTCACGTTTCCACAGAACATTTTTAAGATAAATTTCGTCTCCAGCAGAAAAAAGAAACAATTGTAGCACATTGATAAGATTAAGAAGGAGGCTTGTTAGGGGCGCCTGGGTAGTTCAGTCATTAGGCGTCTCCCTTCGGCTCAGGTCATGATCCCAGGGTCCTGGGATCGAGCCCCGCATCGGGCTCCCTGCTCTGCGGGAAGCCTG